CGAAGGCAATGATCAGAAGCCAAGAATCACACGGAAATATTTGACCATAACTTCAAATCTTTACGCGCTTCACTGCATGTGATCGACAACGACTTGAGTATAGAAGTGAAAGTCTTCAAAATGTGAGGTATGAAGCATTCGAAATAGATCAGTTTCTTATCGGCCATCACATTCAAGCGCCACTAAGATTCGGATGGAAGGGGAATGCGCCCCGCACTCGAATATCATGGCCTTTACGATGAAATGCGAGCAATTCATAATATATTAACAATCTCCAGCGCTTTCTGTCCTCCTAAACAAGTCTGGTACCAAGTATTCGAGTATAAGACTGGAGACTTGGTCAGCTTCGTCGAAATTAGACCTGAAATTTTGATCCCCGAATATGCGCGTAATAATCGCTCCACTTGCCAATACACCACCTCATCTCAGAAGTAAAATTTTAGAAAAGAAAAATCACTCAGTTCTCAGTTCAGTTTTCACTCAGTCTGTCACAACAAGAAATCATGGGACTTCTTTGGAAGCCTACAAGGTGCTTCTTACATCTTTCAGCATAAAAGTGGCTCGGAGTGGCACTATGTCGAGAACGGACAAAGTTTCGAATGCTCGCTGACGTGAAGATGGGCATGAAAGCCTGGCAAAGTATGCGAAATCGCGCAGGGAAACGAAAAGCGTCTCGACGAATATATCATTTCTCACCCATTCGAGTTGATTTATCCGTCAATGACCCGGCTTCACACCTATCGGTCTGCCTTCTTCTATCTCGATGAGATCTAAAGCCTACTTTCCAATGCGTGATGATAAAGACGTCCTCAATGCCACGACAACAAGAGGAGCAGTTGATTCACAATCGAAAAAGAAGCACAGAAGCGAAGTCAAACTTGAACATCACACGAACCTTGTTTGCTGAGGAAGTTGACGTTCGCCAAATGTTGCAGATATTCGAGCACGAAAAGAAGTAGGAAGCGTTAATGATGCTTCTTCTCGTCTGTTGTCTTCATTGCTGAGGATCATGCTGAATTACAAGATGTAAAAGTCTAGTCATGACCGGAACAAGGAAGTTTTGACGATACAGTGCCGACATTTAACAAAATTTTGTCTCTGAATTGATTGTTTCGTTATGATGATTTCCAAACAACTTCGTTTTGCCGTCTCGTTCAACTACATCGGTTAGATTTGCGTTCAGTAAGCAACGCACTTGAAGCCCACCAATCATTTCCTGGGATGCGCCACGCATTCTAGTTCTATCCAAATCGTGCAAGTAATTGTATGCGTATTAGTCTTCCTAGTGACTTGTAGCATACAATCGATGACAAGGCAACAGTTCTGTCCTCGTGAACGGACCGGTACCAATTAATCCAAACGAGGGAAGGTAGACATTGTTAACGTGGACTAAATTGACCCGAAATTTCGTCCACGTACCATGTGTGAGAAAGCGGCGCCGCTTACTACTGCACCGCCTGCGCCCTCAAAGCAACAGTCCCAGCAGGGTTTTTACCTTCGACACTAATGGTGTGGAACGATGCGCTAGCCCTGGTCAAGAACATAGAAGTGTGATGAACAAAAAACTCCTTGGAAAGCCGTTAGAAAGGGAGCTGAACAGCTTCGTGGGCGTGGTCAACAATCAGCTGCAATCACTTTCAGCAGTTGATAACACACGCCTATCGTAGTGCGTTCAACTCCCTTTCTAGCGGCTTTCCAATGGTGAGTTTTGTTCAGTCACACTCTCTTATGTTCTTGACTAGGGCTAGCGCATCGTTCCGCACATTAGTGTCGAAAGTAAAAACCCTGCTGGACTGTTGCTTTAAATTGTACCGTACTCGAACAGGGGTCAACGCACGGAGACACAGACGGCTCGCGGGTGGCGAGAGTGAATGCCGGCGCGGAGAGCGGTCAACATCGGTCCAACGTCGCTCCAATATCGGTCCAACGTAACGGTTGACCCTGCCTCCAGATGCCATGACTATTGTTGCGGGTTTTGTTAATAACTGCAGTATTCTCAAGCATCTCCCGTCTTGCAAACTTGGCATGTTACTTGAAAGTTTCTTGGCATTCTTGTATCTTACGAGGCTGTTGACTTGAGCATTCTTCTTCAAAAATTGCTAAGTGAATGGTAATAGGGGGAGAGGGGCAGGGGAAGAGTGATTGTGTAGCCGAAAATCGACGTCGCCACTGGAATGGTCTAGGATCATATCCAAATGCGATGGGTTTTATTGAGCCTAATTTCTTCTGCGATCATATAATACAAGGTCGAACTCGTTTGTGGAAACAAATAAAAATAAAACAGAATGCTTGGCGCACACCGGAAAGAAAACTTGCCAATGCGAATTGTTTTTGTGCTTTTCAATTTTTTTGACATTTTGGTGTTGTGAAGTCGAGTAGTGCCAGAATGTTTTTGAAAAAAATCAATAAAAATTAAAAAAAATGAAAAAAATCTAAACGCGAAAACTATAAGAGAGCAGTTGAAAGTAACCTTCCTTATTACAGAAAATGAACTGGTAGCCGAAAAAATAGAAAACCGGAGGAAATTTATCGGTATTACCAAAACAAATGCGAAACAGACAAGGGACTAGGGATGATTTTTTTTACCCTACAATCAAACTCTTCAAAGAGATTCTGCACAGATCTTAATATTGAGCGGAATTCTTGTGCCAACGAGGTTTTTAGATGCGAGATTCAGGTAAGGGCCCTTAAGGACAAGGGACTTCCTATCTAAAATCTTCTTTCGGACAAAAATAACATTCAAGCCATCCTCTTCCTGAAGGTTTCAGAAGTCTTCTCACAAAGTACCCTATATATAAGATAACTCCATTCCTCATTACTTTGTTCATATTGTCATGATTCTTCGGTGTTGTGGTGCACCTCAGAGTGCAAAAATAAACAAATACTCAAGTGCAGTTGGGGGGGGGGGAGGGGTGAGAATCGTTGATGTAATAAGTGCGGTGCAAATTCGTCACGGCACGAAGCATCCAATTTTTCGATTTTTTTTGCAAAGGAGAACGCTTCGGAGCGGTTGGGACCTTTTGCTCGTGCAAAAAATGAACAAGTGAATATCGAAATGGAATGTCTGCCCAGTGTTTTAACCTTAGGTGCTCCCACCCAACTACCATTGACCTTAAATAAATATTGCTAGGAGGACACCTGTGATAATTATGGATCTAGGGGAATTATGCCAATAAAGAGTGGGAATCGGAGGAACCTTGACGTGACTATTCACGGAAGTTTTACCGGTAGAGCATAGCGAAAATTCAAGAGGGAATGAAGCAAGCCTCGTGAGACCGAAAATTCAAAATCGATAGCAGAGCGCTCATAGTCCAAGCAGAATCGTCCGTGCCGCACGGAGCATCAAGGATGCACAAAACGATCCTCCTGCGTCTTTAGTCTATCGATCGCACAACTGAAACTGAAAACGCTCCGACAGCCACTCGCAATTGTGCCACCGCGTCGCCTCATAGAGGGAAGTTTATAAAAGGAGTAGCTTTGTACTTTTCCCTCCAAATCCATCATCTCTAAAAGTGCTGGAAGTTATAAAAGGACGCTGGTTGAAAAATAAAACAAATTTCAAACGAAGAGAACAAATAAATCATGATTACTGTATGCACTTCTGGAGAGTTTCTATAGCTATGAGTGATGAAAGCTATTGAAACTTCTTCTAAGATAAGTCGTCTAGTCCTTTATTCAGACTTATAAGCACACTGAACACTGGTGATAACTACTGGGGTGCGCCGCGCACTCAACTTGCACTCAAAGTCGTGAAGGAATTGAATGGGTGGGGGGCTTTTGAAACACCTATGAAGTCCTGTTTTCGATCTACCACTGGATATTGACTACATCACATTAAAAGGATGAAGGATAAAACTTCGGCAGCATTCGGCCTTTGTGAAATGTGCCACGCATTATACTTCCGTGCAAAATTGCAGTGGAATATGGAAACGAGAAATAGTCTATCGGGGCCTTGCAAGATTCAGCAGCTGACGTTTCCATCCCTTCCGCCCTCCCCCTTCACGCAAATAGGACCCGACCTCAGGGGGATGAAGGGCTTGGTTGGTCTAGGCTACTTCGTACTTTCAGAGGGCAGCTCGGTTGAGCTGTGGACAGAGACCGTGACAGCATTGAGGCCATTGCCACGCCACCTAGGTCCCTACACTGTATCAGGCTTTTGGAATAGTGGCTTATAATATGTACCCCCTCCTCCTCTTTCAACCACTGCGAATACAATTCCGATCCCGTTATTGGGAGAAATAAACTCGAATACCCATGGAAAGAAGACGAACGCTAGGAGCTGCGACACAGCAGGTCTGCTTTGCTGGACGCCACCTTACTGGTCCAGTGGGCGATCAACCTTAGGCCGTATTAATACTTAATGTGTTGGACAAATCAGAGAATCCGCAAAAGGAATTGGACATAAATTGGAATTATATATACATATATTAACGAGTTCCCGACTCTCCAAGATCTCGAGGTGTTCTCCCAAAACGCTAAGTATAAAAGCAAAATGACTGTGGTTTGAACATCAAGTTCTATCTGGAATGGTAATATTCATGAGTATTTGCCTCCCATTGCAGTGCCTAGCAGGAGTTTTGAATCGAAAGTTCTACTGTAAAGAAGGTCGATGAAAGAACTCCCTTGGAATCAGAGACTGAAGAATGCCCTAATGTGACCATCTGCACATATTTGCACAAGTGGCAGACATTTTTAAGATTCTGAATGGAAGTCGCATGCATGGCGTACTCCGGGGTTTTGCCTTTCACCGTATCCGTGTCAGATCGGAAAGTTATACGAGCATAGGCTGACCTCACAAGAAATTATAAGAGAAGCGATTAACAGGCAAAGACTTCGACAACAGTCCAAGGATAAGTGGTTTCCATATACTACAGCTGTGATTTGAACAATAACCTCCCTAAGGGCTCGAGTAATTGGATACGCCAATGGTGAAGGGAAACTTAGAAAGGGTCCCGTAGAGACAGATAGAGACCGAAAGCTAATAGTGATAAATAATGAAAATGGCGATGGCTACTAAAACAAACGCCGATAAGGCAACTAGTGAAACATTTTTAATTGTAAGCGGACATGCTCCAAATTCGTGAGGGCATCTGTCCTGATAGTATCCTGACCCATATAAAATGCGCTTTGTTTGCAATAAAAACATTAGCTGTTAAGCGAGAGACCGATTACTTTCATAAATGGGCTGCAGTGCTTAAAATTATTGAATTCTGAATGAGTATGGCATTTTGCGCACAAAATGTGGTAGTGGTAGTTGTGGTAGTTGATCCATCGGTAGGGAAACAGGGGAAAAACCGCTGAGAACCGCTAATCGCATCTATGCACATGACGGTGTGGCGGAGTCTTGCGCCGCCCAATGCGGGTGATCTCAATTGGGTGGGTCCTGTTCGCTCACATGGTAATACGTATACAGTAAAGAGATGGGAGCAACCAATGAGACTCCTAGGGGCGGGGCGAAAACTCAGGCGGGCGATATTTCATCGGCAGGATGATTTCAAGAGTTTCATTTTTTTTCAAATCGCATCTTAAGGATAGACCAATCACCATTGCTATTTTCATTTCTAGACACAATTATACACATCTATTCAATCGTGTAATGAGCCTTCAAAGTCATATTATCAAACCGGTGAAAGAATGGTAACCCCTAGTTGGGTTTTTACAGCGTAGCTGAGCGTCGGCTTCACTCTCGCCTCTTTCTCATCCGTTCTGTCGTCCATGCTATGACATTTTCCCTAAATTGCACCCGTACGATATCCCTAGTCAACTATACAGAGAAAGCCTCATTCAAGTCTTTTTGACAATTTCTTACTTGTTCCTTCACTGTCGGACCAAATAGCAGCTACTCTCTCATTTTGAACCCTACAGCTAGCATTCGGCTGTCGCATAATGTATTATACCATTGAAGTAGTCATATAAGGTGTGAAGCATACACCAAGATAGACGAATCTTTTACAAAGTCCTAAGATCCAAAAGTTATTCAAATTAAACTATGAATAATGGGAAGCCTGGGAGTGCCATTCAAAAAATGATGGAGCTCGCTGTTTACCATAAATGGAACTGACTCAAACTACGCAGCTCATCCGATGAAAATACGGATTACGTGACTACTTGAACTCTCCCCTATGTTCTCTGCCGCGAAAGGCCAGAGCACAGACGATTAGAGAACGGCGCCTGGCTCGGCTCCAAATCCCAAGAAGGAAGGTGAGAGCTCTAGGACTAAGCCTTGGAGGGAGGAGGGACTCCGAGTGGGTGAGCCAATCACATGTGGCAAAGTTTGAATGTGTCAGATCACAGTAATCATAAGCCGCTGTTTAAGCGAGAGAGCGCAGGCGAGAGCATCAAATCGAGGCAGTTCAAAGGACTGAGTTCAAGTTGTCCGTAGACCGAAATACGTACCCTCTATTTCGGACGACGAGAAGAGCGTCGAGTGCAGACCACACACCACAAGTGACGACCAAGAGCAGAGTGGCTTTTTTGCCCTCGTCATTGCGGTGTGTTGTCTGTACTCGACGCTCTTCTCTTCCAAAATAGAGTATAAGTCGATTCACTGTCACTGAGACAACGAAAAAAGCTTGGATGATAAAAGAGAGAATTGTTGTTGAAGGATCGAGGTAACTCAAAATATTTTAAATATGAATCAGGATATTGGCCGAGGCATTTCTCGGGAAAACAAGCCTTCAATTAACAGTCCATGTAATGCGTTGAAGTCTTCTTGGTAATTGCAGTACTGCCACACTTTAGCTGTTTTTCCTGCCAAAATTCGCTGAAGCAGCGTACTCGGCATTTCAGGAAATTTGACAACCCAAGAATTGGCGAGTTTGGGAAAAGGTAATCGAGAATGTAGAAGTAAAGCAGGAGCAAATAAACAATATATTGCCTTTCCCCGAAACGTCCACTACAAACCGGTTAAAAGCTTCTGTCAACCAGGGGTGAGAGAGTAGAAGGAAAAGCAGACGTTCTTTGTGGTAGTGGGACTAAGCCTTTTGGAGGTAAAGAAAGCGGAGATTCTGTAATAGTGCGCTTGTGTGAGAGCTCCCAGACAGCACAACAAAACGCTGAATTGCCTAGCCTCACGGTTGACAGATGTCCGGAGACCCTACAAACCGAGCATTATGTCCTGCTATCCCTAAGAAAGAGGGAGAGAGATAGAGGATGAGTGAAGAAGAACGTGAGAAAGTATAGCCTGATCGAAGAGACGTGAGACGTGTTTGCAAAGTGTGATGATAGCCAAAAGCCCATTACTTCTCCAATAAGAGCTTCTTTAGGAACAAAGGGAAATGGAGATTAGGGTGTGTACTCTTTTACATTTTTTTAAAGAAAACAGATGAAGCCAATTTCTCTTCTCTTCAAAAATGGCGACACTCCTATAAACAATAATAGAGCAAAAAAAACAAGTTTCATTAGAGCAGTGACGAAGCTTCTTTCTCGCAAGAGCTTATTATGTGTGTACTGTTTATTTAGGCTACCGCTTACAATTTAATTTGAAACCGTAGCCCACAGTTTCGCTGACCGCCTCGTTAGCAGAGCACTTTCTTCAACCTTTCATGAAAGACTGGGGGGTATTGGGCTACTGAACATAATGAACCAAAATTGCTAAAAATAAAGCACGCCTTCATCGCTAACATCCATTCTAAACAGTTAGCATACGGCCGGCATCTTTGTCCACATCTCGTCGGAAGAAAATAAGCCTGAGTTGGCAAATCTTCTCGTGGTTGTGGTGAAAAGTTTCACAAAGCAACTCGGTTAATCTCGCAAATCTTGGACTTGCTCTCTGAAATCATTACGGGCTGACTCTAGTGGTACAACGCTAGTTATGCCCCGTTTCAGTACATTATCTCGCAGATGCGTCTCGTGAAGAATACATAGACTACTTAAACCCGTTCACGGGTCTGATCCAATGAGCGGTAGGGGCATTCGGTGCGACAGTTCGTATTGCATGAAGATCCACTTTTTTCAGGGAGGAGAAGCTCTGGGGTGGGTGTAAAGCGGAGGTGAAATGGTTCACACACCCTTGGACTTCCTCTCCCCTTTCAAAAATAAGAATTTCGCCGGTAAGAACTGCCACACCACATGCCCCCTCTTACTTGATGAGACCCCGGTTCACTAAATATTTCGCTGGTTCCGGGCAAGCAGTTCCCCACTACGAGGAGCTAGTGACTTTGCTCGAAGAGTACTAATTCCTTAATTTGAAGCATTTATAAGTCGAATCGCGCTGAAACAATATGTGGAAATGATTTGGGATAATCCGGCATTGTTATAGATCCGTTAAAAAATAACTCTTCATGACCCGTTGTACGCTTCATTTCTGATCCCCAGTTGACATTGTGGGTATAGGTGCTCGCTCTTCGAATTCCTATGACCGTCGACCGATCTTTTTTTTTGTCTTCGGCCCTATAGGGTTCATTTTACTGTGCGTGTGTCCCCCTGCTCAGTATCTGTAAAGTTTATTCACCCATGTTCAGTGATTTCAAGTATTATTCACTTTTATTTCAGTTATGGAACCTCCCAGTTACCCATATGCAGACACTCGTCAAAGAGCTAGTAGTAGTTCTGGTTTAGGTGAGTAGTTATCATTTTTTATCACTCAGTATTAGTGTTAATCAGTAGTTTGATCCGTAATGAAGTTCATTTTCATAACGTCTCCTTAAACGTTTATAACTTCTGGACTTGACGTCAGATTTACAAAGTGTTCCGTTTTATTGAAATGCTTAAGGAACGTCGGCTTCAGCTGCTCCTCCGCCAAAAGCAGACTCTGTACCATTTGACTTTCAGTCACAACTTGGACACATGGTCAGCTTTGTTGTATTATAATTGAAATGCTTCATTTTGAGACGTATCGTCGATGACGCTCTTGGATTATAGGTTTGGGAAGCTGGGACTAAGCAGGTGCAGGACACCTTCAAATCCTACGGAAGAATTGATTTATTTCGACCTTATTTCGACGTGGAACCTAGTCAGGTAATTTTGTTCTGTTGATTTCCTCATTTCCTGCTTACTTCTTGCTCTTGTCTATTCGTGCATTTTGAATTTGAGTTTGTCTGAGTTCAAGCTTACTTTGTTTTGGACGAGACTGGACTGAGATCGCTGTATCAATAAGGTATATTATCAGCAGGGTTGGATTACGCTAAAACTCAACCCCAACTCTTGACTGATGATACCAAAGCGACAGAGCTTTCAGTGAAACAGCGATCTTTCGGGTGAAGTGGAGGGGGTGAATGCTCGGTAAGGTTATTTTAGTAAAGGATAGAAGCTCTTCTCATGCTCGGTTAGTCCTCCGCATGGTCACTGGGACAGAAAGCGGCTTGTTTCGTGTTTTGCAGCACTGAACATTTCTCGCTGTAAGAATACCACGTCCACCCATAATCACGGATAGACCTGAGATTCTCGCGGGTTGAGGGTTATGCGGAAAATGTTTCGCGTCCGAAAGCGAAAAAGTCGTTTTCTGTCTTAGTGAACCATACCCTGCTAGGTGCCTCACGTTTTTGTCCGATTTCAGCAGCCACCGAAACTTTACATGAAGTGCTGCCCTAGCTTCGGGACCAACACCAACAACGATTTTCTGTCTAGGTTCGTATTCGTCTTCTACGCTCGTTTGTGCCACGTCGACCATCTCAGATGGTGACTTCTCCTGATCTCTATGGTCCATCAATGGTTGTTCTTACAATGGTTGCGTTACTTCTGTTCAACATGAAAAGTAGCGGGTAAGTTTCAAGTGAATTGTAATTTTTTCTACAACTACAAATAAAGAACTTATCTCAGATATGTTGTCCCAAATGGGACACTCATGGGCACATCATTTTTTGCTTGTTTTGGCTCCTGGCTTTCATTATCAGGATTGCTCTATGTGCTCTGCTTCCTTTTCGGTGCTGAGATTCCAATGCTGCAGCTGGTTTCAGTCTTTGTAAGTTTGATCGTACTTGATTTAAAGAGCGATGTTTTGATTCTTTCGGG